ATTTCGTTTAGACTTCATCGGCTAATTTTGAATTATTTTTAATATTATTATTTTTAACAGACCGAGACAGGAAATCCGTTAAAAATTCATAACTTCTTTATCCGACGTCCGTTTTTGTCTGTCTTTTTACCGTTGTACTACTTTTGACGAGACCTTCGATTCTCGTTTAAGTTGTGTCGGCTAAATATCGATCGATTTTATTTCGAATTTTAGCTGTCTATGCTAAACCGAAAACTTAGAAAAATCATAACTTCTTCATAGGAAGTCAGATTTTTACGTTCTTTTTATGAAAGTTCTCGGTTTAACATATTCTACAACTTTTATTTAGATTGTTAAGGCTAAAAAACCTTTTATCGAAAATTCACATTTTACACTGAATAGTGTTTTGCCGGTTTTGTCGCGGATCTTCGATTGGTCATAACTTCTTCGTTATAACTCGGATTTCAGTGTTCTTTATATTTTTGGAAACCTTGTTACAATCTCTACCACTTGGTTCATCCCAATTACGATTATTGATTAATTTATTTTTGACCTAAATTTGACCGGTGTTACACATGTGGCTTTCATTTGTTTAATGAAAAGAATATACATATAAAAGACATGTATGGACAATGTGATTAAAGTAAAGAGCTAGGAGCATGGTAGGACAAAAAGGTGAAGACCTTATGGACAAAGAATGCATGTAAAAGGGCTTTCAAGAACTCTTTCTTCGCCTCATTATGTTGTTAATTTGCCTTTGCTTTTCGATTTCTAGAGCTTGTTGCTTCTTTTGCTCTTCTTCTGAAGGAACCACTGAGATAGCTTTTCCTTTATCACCTTGATCATCTTTCGAAGGTGGTGGCACAAAACTCGAACTTGAACCTCCAGCTCCTTCGTTTATTGTGATACCTTTTGTTATTGGTCTTGTTGTTGTTGTTGAAGTTGTGGTCAACGAAATAGGAAGCAAAGTTGGTATTTGAGTTGAAATCACTTTTCCAACAACATCTCCTTTCTCTGAATCTTTCAAAGACCCAACACCTCCACATCCTTTATCTCTTCCTTGTGACACTTGCCCAGCACATGGAACATCCGTTGGTAGTCGAAGAACCAACTCAAGGATGGGAGCAACCTCTTCTTTGATATTAGTCTCAATGGTCGAAATCAATTGAGAAATTGACTCCTGAGAATCTGATGATTGATTCGAAAGATCAACTTTCGAAATTGACTCCTTCTCCGATTTGGCTTCCATCTTGTTTGAATAATCAGTATTAAAACGAACCAACTTTTTGATAGCAGTTGCAACAACATCAACTTTGCTATGCAACAAAGTGTAATTCTTTTCCATCTTTTCAACCTCTTTAGCCATCTCCGACTTGAGTTCCACCACCTTAAGATCCACCAAGTCTTTCATCTTCGTAATTTGTTCAATGAAAATATCATGACGCTCCTTGGCCACATCACAAAGCTTCTGAATTTCATAATCAAAGCTTTTGGAGTGAACAACCAACCTTTCGACCTGTTTCTGTTCAAGGCTTTCAACCAAGCTTCTAAAACAATTCTCCCGAGACTTCAACAAGTACTCCATCTCTACTCCAGTAACGAACTTCCTTCCCCCATTATCTGCTTGTATTTGAAGAAGAGAATTGATTTTGTTGTTGAGGATTTTTGTAACATCCATAAAAATTCATAAAAATTTAAACTTTTCAAAACAACCCTTTTTCTAAAGAAGTGTTTACAAAAACCATTGTTCCCAAAACATTATTTAAAAATCAGAATCACTTTCAACATAGTTTTCAAAACATTCACATTATCAGAGTTTCCTAAAAATCATAAGTCCAAAACACGAGGATGTGTACGGTCATGCCTTCACCTTGACACGATCCACTGAAGTACCTGAAACCATAAACCAAAACTGTAAGCACGAAGCTTAGTGAGTTCCCCCAAAGTACTAACACCCAAACAGATAACATATACAAATAACAACATGTATTGGGTCCACAGCTAAAATACTGGATTACCCCTTGAGCCCATAATATAAGTCTGGCTTGCCTATCAGGCCCACAACTCATATCTGGCTTGCTCTCGAGCCCACATCATAAGTCTGGCTTGCCCTTGGGCCCACAGCTTATGTCTGGCTTGCTCCCTTAGTCCTTGGACTGGAATACCAATGAGTAGCCCTCAGTACGAGTCTGGAATACCACCCGATCCTCAGCTCGTATCTGGAATGCCACTGAGCCCTTAGTATGAGTCTGGTTTGCCCTACCCGACCCTCATCTCATATCTAGAATGCTAATGAGTCCTCAATATGAGTCTGGCATGCCCTCCCTGGCCCTCAGCTCATATCTGACATATTCCATGGTTTGTTGGCTACAACACAAAGCAGTACAACCTCAGCCCAACCCACACAATATGTCGACATATAACAGATAATATGATATACATATAAAAAGACAGTATCACAGGTAGTCCTATAGATCTACCAAGCTAGCATATCAAGACCAACATAACAAGATTAGCATGCATATCTACTCCATACTCGACATATCAACAATATCAGGTTATCAAACCAAAGGGCCGACTTTTGTGCCTTCGACCTGAAAGTACAGTGAGGAAAACTCACCTCGAATACTGAAGTTCACTGTAAGGATCCTTAGCTACTGCCCCGACGACACCTCCGATCTATCATATCAAAGTAACACCCAATTAGTAATTGGGTTTCATTCTAAGTCCCACCATCCAAACTTGGGGTAAAATGACCATTTTACCCCTGACCCAACATTAACCAAAATTGAGGCCCAATTCCATTAACCAAAAGGTCCAAAACCAAAGATCCACAAAGGCCTACTAGTGGCCTAAATTTCCAAATTGGGCCCAACCTCATATGAGTCTTATCCTAAGCCTATAATTTCCTTTATTACAATTCAGGTTACCTCAAGTACCCCCCCCCCCTTAGGACAACTTGGTCAAAGATAAAAGTCAATAAGTCAAGGTCAACGACCCGAGTTGACCCAACTCACCGAGTTGTTCCTTCAACTCGCCGTGTTTTTCCGTTTAACTGCAAAGTCGGGAAAAATCGATCCAACTCGCCGAGTTTATCAATAAACTCGTCGAGTCCGCTCAAAACCCAACAACTTAATACTATAAGCACTTAATCCATATGGACATGACTCTAAAACCTAGATTTGACTTCCTTGAGCTGAAAAACCACGTAAAGTTGCCAACTTTACGTTCATGCATGTCTAAATGAAGCTCTTAAGCTTAAAATGGACTTGAGAATTGACTTAATGCATGCATAACACCAAATTCCTCTTAAAGCTTGCAACTTTAATCCAAATAAGGCCACAAAATGGCCATATCTAAAATGACAACCCATGAAACACTCAAATCCTTAGACAATCCATCAAAGAATCCAGTAATCAAGATAAAACCCCAAAAGAAGAGATCTAATCAATGAAGAAGCAAGGTACAAACTTTATACCTCAAAGAGACTGCAATAAGTGGGGAAGTTCTGGATCTAAAGCCTTTCCACTAAGTGGGGAAGTTCGGGTTGCGACAGTGGGACTGTACACATGAACATCAACGGTTTTATGATTCGAGATTCCGCATTATTTTCCTTATAACTCTGATTTTGAATTATGGTTTTTGAATAAATGGTTTGACTTAATGTAATTTTATAAAAATGGGTGTTTATTCTATTTTAAAAATGAAAATTTTTATTCTGGAATTTGGGACGTTACATGATTTGCACCAAACTTCCGAACACAAGGTGTGGAAATTTTCCCTAAATTTTTTCATGAGAAAACAATGGCCAATATATAAATACATTAGTCTAGGTTGACATGGTTTTGCGTTGATAAAGATATCGTCATTACGAGCTCTTCTTATACTCCATAGGGTCACCATAAGAAAAACTTTTGATTTCTATTATTATAAAACTAGGTGTAGGATCCGTGTACTACACAAATTGATTAAAAAAAAAGTTAAATATTTGGGTATAAATATTAAGTATTTTTTTAAAGTAAAATTTTGAAATAAATAGACATATTCAACTAACGAACCAATAGGATCAAAAGAACCACTATTGAGAAGATCATCCAAAATATAAATAATTGTCTTGCCATCATTTAAACTGCCATCATTCCCTTCTCTTATATCTAATAGCTAGTTTGCAAATGTTGCTGTTTCTTCAATATCACATGTTTGAATAGTTAACATCATGTTTTTTTTTGTTAATCTTAGGACTTTGCATTTTGACCACATCTAGGAAGAACTTAACGAAACATTCACAATGTCTTGTCTATTCCCGTTAAACCCCGTATATTACACATGTTGATTTAAAAAAGAATAATTAAAAACTAAGGATTAAACATTAACAAATTTTAAAATGATATATTTCAATAGGATTTTACTGAAATAAGGAATTATTAGGTATTTTTAAGAAAATGAAATTGTTGAAGCATTAACCATAGTTTGCAATAACTTCAACCAATCACTCTAGTTTTTTAACGGCTGGTTAATGGTTAGAAGTTGATATCACCGAGTTAGTAGAATTCGCTAACGCCCATGTTAAAACCTGGGATCTCCAATCTAAGATGCAAAACCTCTACTAACTGGGTTAGTCCCACATTGGCAACCAAATTACTCTAGTAATCATGAAATGAGGAATTCGTAAGTACTTTTAATAAAAGCTAATCATTGAAGCATCAACCATAGTTTGCTATAACTTAAACTAAAATCACTCTATTAATCATGAAATTGTAAGTGGTCGTTTCACTTCCCATATCATCTTCATAAGGTCAAAACTATGCTTACGTATTCACATCAACTATGAAATGGTCAATTGTGCATTATCAAATTCACATAAATATTCAACTTTTTTACCTTATAAATGAAATTGACACTAATTGTAGAAATAAAAATTAAATGATCCTTATTCGTTATTATGAACCAAATTATAATATTTTTGGATGTTTGGGAACCATTACACAATTATTAAGAAGTGAGGCAACATGCTGAGATTAAAAAGATCCATAAACTTGTTGATATGATCATTGTCATTTGAATAAACAGTCAAAAGGCCCGAAAAATCATTCTTTTTGTTGCAAAATTAATATAAATGATGTAGCCAACATTAATTGTATCTTATTTGGTAAAATATCTACCAATATAAAAGTACATATGTGATGTCTCCTACAATAATTCAATCATAAATTTTGGGCTTTTGTTGGCTGTAATTACATGTAATTAGTAAATATGAGAACTTTGAAGAATTGATGGATAAATTTTAAATAATGAGATTTTTAAACTTATAAATGTGCCAAAGAAACGACTTTTCACCTCAAATCGAAACTTAATAATTTTTTTTTCTAAAATATAAACATTACAATAGTGATAGTGTAAAGATACACCAAAAAATACATCTAAATATGTGTTTTCTATATTTCTCCAATAATCAGTCTTTTAAAATGTAACATTAGAAAACACAATTATATATAGATATAAATTTACATATTGTTGGATTAGTGTCTAAGCCCGTAACCATATTTGGTAAGTACTTGACCCCGTTGTGCATGGTCCTTTTGAGTTGCCTTTACCAAAGCAACTTGACTGGAGAAATAATAGATAAAGAGGTTATTATGGTTTATTAATATATTATATGAATAATATATTAAAAGAGAAATCATATTTATTTAGTTAACATTGGTCGAGAATTAATTAAGAATTAATTTTGTGATCAAAAGAAGTTAATTGAACTAGGGGGACTGAACTGTAATTATGTGATAGTTGCAAAGTAGGGCAAAGGATGCCCTATATGATAGGGTGGACGAATTCAAGGGGAAAAGGCCTTAGAATTCACCCATTATAAGGTTTCTAGGGTTATCCTTTGGGCTGCTTGGTGGCTAAGCAACCGGATACGGATAAGGACTAAAACCATAATTTCTACACCTATATAAAGACCCCTTGGCATAAGAAATTTGGCCACTTGATACCTAGGGTTCCTAGAGCCGAATTTCATACCTCCCCTCTCTCTCTCTTACATCTCCATTTGCTCTTGGTGTTTTTGAGCCATTAGAGGTACTATACTTGTGGTACTTGCTTTCAAAGACAAGAAATTCAAGATACAAGTTGTTATTACAACGTAACAACAAGAGGTATGTATTCCATTCTCCTCATGATTTTCGAAATTACCTAGGAGCATGTTAGGTTTCTTTTGTGTTCATAATGTCGTATAACTAATAGTGAAAACATAGATCTGTATCTAGGGTTGCATGCACACATATGATTGTTTGTATAAACCCATCAGTGGTATCAGAGCTTTTGGTTTTGTTTTCAATTAGATTTTATACAAAAAGTATGAATTTCACATATTAGGGTTTATTGCAAATAAACCCTAGGGACTTGATTTTCGAAATTAGGGTTTCTAAACCCTAGATTTCGAAATTTTGATAGGGTTTCCAAACCCTTTCCTTAGCCTCCAAGATTTCGAATTTAGGGTTATCCAACCCTAGGGTTTTCGAAATTGCATCCTCCCCAAGATAAGATTCCTAAATTTAAGGGATTTGGATAATGCCATATCTTGTAATTATCCCTTTAATTGTTTAATATGGTAATTAAAGATTTTTTGAATTATCCCATCCCAATTTTCGAATTTTAGGGGATTTAAGGGATTAGGTTAAA